AAAAACGACTTTGCAGCCTTCGCATGTGCTGGACATTTTCTCATGGCTTGAGGGGAACTCAGCGAATCTTTGGATGAAGGTCCAACCACACACACAACGGTGTCCCATGAAAACACCCCCTCAACTTTGATTCTCAAATTAGAGATACATACCCCTGGCCCAGAATGCTTGATCAATAGCTAAAACCCACCAAAAGGGTGTCTACATAGGTGGCCTGACCACTCTCAACTCCTGCTGATCTGTTTCAACTGTTCACATGTTTCCGGCCCGCCCGATGGCGCTCTAGCAGCACTTCTCTCCCTTGTAAAATGGTTCCTACGTTCCCAACCGATGGACACATCAGTCTCATCCATCTTCTATTGCCTGAGAAACCTGGAAAAAATGCAATAGCTGCAAGTTCTCTGCAATCCCCTGGTTGGCGGGACTTTCAGTGGAAAAAAAAAAGGTAAACATTACCTCCAGGTTTTGAACTTCCCCAAATTTAGTGACATGTCAACCATGTCCTCAAAAATAGTAATTAATGGAATCAATATTTACAAACACAAGTGGAGATGGCATTATGGTAGATGTTCCAACACAACTTACTCATCACCATGGCTCTCTTTCCCACTCAGCGTGGTGTTCATGAGCTGCGCGCTGCTGCACTCCGTCCGCACCAGCCCATCGCTCGCCGCCTGGTCTGGGTATTCCAGTTGGATTCGGAGACAGGGAAGTGAAGAAATCCGGGGATGGATGAAGGGTTGTAAATTGTAAGTATTGTAGGACATTTGCAGGATGAGAGGATTTTTCAAGATTGAACATTGAAAAAAACTGGAATGAACATGTAAAGAAAGGTTCTCCTAGACGATTCATCAGATCTGTCGGATTGCTTTTGTGAGTCGAACAATCCAAGTTGGACGCATCAAACGAACCAACTGGCTACAGTGTCCACAGCAGAGGTTGCTCCCGCACAATCAAGAATCCCAAACAATTATGTCACACCACAAACACCCCTGACTCACCTGCAATACTGAACAACAAAGAGAAGGAAACTAAAACCTGTGGGCCAATAAGGTCAATCAGATCTATATATGTTTCAATCATCGTTGAACAAGGTAAGCTTGTCTAAGCTGCAAAGCAGCAGCAATCCTACTCATGTTTGGGAATATTCGTGGCTTTCCGCCACGAGTC